TTTTTTTGGTTTTTCTCCGGTACCGGGAACCGAACTCACGACCTTGCGCTTGCCAGGCAGGCGCTTTGCTGCTGAGCTAAATCCCCAGCCCCGGAATTCTTGATGTTTTAATATGCAATCAACAAACCAAGACATGAGCCGGGGGCAGTAGCCCACGCCTGTAGTCTCAGCACTTGGGAGGCTGAGCAGGAGGATTGACAGGAGCTTGAGGCCAAGCTTGGGCTACATAGTGAGTTCCAGACCAGCTTAAGCTATATAGTGATACACTATCTCAAAAAACAAAAGGAAAAAAAAAGTTAACACATGAAAACACACCGACTAGCTTTTATGAAAAAAAAATTTAGGTTGCAAAGGTACATGCTTTATCCAACCATTCCAAGTTGGTCTCTGTCCTCGTCATGACTGACAGGCCGCGGTAGAACAACCGAGCCTATACACTGAGCTAAACTTCCTGAGCAGAGTGGATACAGTTAGACTGGTTATCATGTGACCCATAGATCTGTGAGTTGAAGTATGGTTCCCAAATCATTTTCCTCTTCACTTTGTAAAGTGTTCTGATGACCAGATTCAAAGCTAGACCTGCTAGTTCAAGGTTTTTAAGGAATAAGAACGCTCTGACCTACAGACTCTTTAAAACGTCATGTTATTATTGATAAGTACACAAAACACCTTAAATTCACACCATCACACAGTATTAAAGACAAAATGAAGCAAGGTGTGTCATTCCAGTTAGGAGGCAGAGGCAGGAGGATCACTGTGTGTTTGAGATCAGCCTGGGTTACATAGTAAGCGATACCCTGTCTCAATAAAATAAAAAGAAAAAAACAACAACAAAAAAAGAGAATTTGCAGTTAGCATAATAATTATGAAATGTTAAAGTATATGAAAATAGTCTTCATTAACACTGAACTTCTTGCCAGGCATGTTGGTGCACGCCTATAATCCCAGCACTTAGGAGGCTGAGGCAGGAGAATCACTGAGCTCACGGCCAGCCTGAACTACACAGCAAGACCCTGCCTCAAACAACAACAACAAAACAAAAAACACATTGCTTCTTACTATTGACTTACGACACTACAACTACATTTCTCATGAGTACTTTGAAGGCTAACTGCATCAGCACTACCATCAATTATTATTTCTGGTGCTTTGAAAGACATTATATTATTTAAAATGAAGAGGGGCTGGGTGTGGTGGCGCACACCTGTAATCCCAGCACTCAGGAGGCTGAGGCGGGAGGATCATTGCCAGTTCAAGGTCAGCCTGGGCTACAAAGTGAGCTCAAGGCCAGCCTGAACTGCATAGTGAGACCTTGTCTCAAAATACCAAAAAAAAATAAATAAATAAAAAAAATAAAATGAAGAGGGGCGGGATACAATGGAGTTCAGTGATTGTCCAGTCTGTGTGAGGCCTTGGGTTTGATCCCTAGCACTATCTCTCTCTCACTCACACACACACACACACACACACACACACACACACACACACGATGAAGAATAAGTAACAAAGTGTACGGGAAAGACACTTCCAGTCTTTGTGCATTCCACAAAACATGTAACACACATGTAAATGACCAAAATAATCAGATAACTCATCCACTTAGCCCCAAAGGCATTTATTTACTATAAAACAGTTTGATAAACATGTTGCTTGGTGTTATGCTGCTTTAAGAGCAGAAATCATAAGTTATTTATGTGGTGATTAACAGCGCTCAGTTTTACTGCCCGTCAGAGGCTGTGAGGAAGACATTCTGAAGTGGTACCACGTGCTCACGGGCATGCCTGGCCTCACGCTTGTGGGCAGATGTAGCTTTTAGGGCTGAATTGGCCATTCTGGTTTGCTCAGGCTTTTGCTGATGGGCTGCATCTATCATCTCAGCTCAAATCTTCATTCCTTAGAATTGTCTGTTTGTTTGTTTGCTTGTTTTGAGACAGGGTCTCGATGTGTAGTTCAGGCTGGCCTCAAACTTGCAGCAATCCTCCTGCCTCAGCCTCCCCAGTGCTGAGATTACAGGCGTGAGCCGCTATGCTCGCTCTCTAGAATTGTGATAAGACAATGTCCTCCTCCCACCTTGATGGTTGATGCTCTTGGATTTTAAAGTTTCTGAAGAGAGAGTCACTGACTCATGGCAGGGATGTTATTACAGTATCTGCATCAAACCCTGGCCTCATGGGTTTAAACGGCTGCCATGTCTTAGTTACTTTTCTCATTGCTGTGACATGAATCTTCTTTTTTTTTTTTTTTAGCCAAAACCAGCTGTGACATGCATCTCTTTTTTTTTTGGTACTGGAAATCAAACTCGGGACCTTGCGCTTACCAGGCAGGCACTTGTGCCACTGAGCTATATCCCGGGCCCAATGTGAATCTTTAAAAGCTACCTTTTTTGGTCTATTTAAAACTTCTTCCCTTTTCACATCCTTTCCTTTAACACCCAAAGTTAAAGGGGGAAAGGTTTATTTAGCTCACAGTTTATAAATGTTTCAGTTCATAATCGGCTGACTCCGAGGCAGGGTGACCGACAGAGGCATTGCAGAGAACAAGGTAGCAGCAGTAGCAAGGGGCCTTATGAGCATCTTTCTGCCCCTTTTATCTTATCCACACTGCTCAGGGCGGTTGCACTCACACCCTTAATCCTAGTGCCCTTGAGTCTAGACTGCAGGTGAATCCATCCACAGCCGCCTCTGAAAAAGCCCCAGCGATGACCACGTGGGGCTCTGGGGGACATGTACACACAGCCCTAACACGCTGTAAATCACCGACTACAGCAGCCTGTGGTTGGCATCAGGGTAGCAAACGCATCTGACGGCAGCTGAGGGTGATCTCATCTTTTCTAGTCGAAAGGATGAACAAGCCACACTGGTATTATTCATCCACAACATGTGGATTTTCCGTCCTCAACACGAAGACACTGCAGGGAGTTAATGGAAATCTGCAGCTTTTGATAGAGATCTGGGTTGTGGTGATCTGACTCCAGGGCAGAGAAATTCAGGTCTGCATGTTTGACGGGACGGGTGGGACTTCATCTGGAAAAACTTGGCCCTTGACAGACAGCTTCTTGCTGACTAAACTCAAGTTTTCTCCTGGGACCTCGACTCTCTAGGACGCCCAGCCCTGAAGGACATTCTGTGACACTGTGGGGGGATGTGGGCATTAGAGTTCAAGTGGTGACGTGAACTCTGTGTGTGTGTGTATGTGTGTGTGTGTGTGTGTGTGGTTCTAGGGGTTGAACCCAGGGCCTTTACACTGAGCTCTATCCTGAGGATTTTAAATTCTTTTTCTTTTGAGATAGAATCTTGTTAAGTTGTTCAGGTGTCCAGGCTGGGTTCAAACTCGAAATCCTCTTGCCTCAGCCTCCGAGAGTGCTTGGATTACAGGTGTGCACCACCATCCCCAGCTTTATTTATTATTTTTTGGGGGGGGGGGTTCTCTGGTACCGGGAACCGAACTCACGACCTTGCGCTTACGAGGCAGGCGCTTTTGCCGCTGAGCTAAATCCCCAGCCCCCCCAGCTTTAAAAGATACCTATTTTGGTCTATTCAAAACTTCTTCCTGGGTCAGGGGTATAGCTCAGTGGTTCACCGCCTGCCTGGCAAGGTCCTGAGGTCCTGAGTTTGATTTCTAGCACAAAAATAAATAAATAAAACTTCTTCCCTTTTTATAGCCTTACCTTAAAAAAGGAAAAAAAGCTAGCTTGGTCTACATTGTACATGTCAGTATACATTTGCCCAAACCCACAGGACACGCGACACTGAGCCTGCGTGGGCCTGATGCAGCGGCCAGGGTTCACTGGCTGTGACAGAGGGACCCACACTCTGCAGGGCGGGTGGCACGGCCAGCGTACGGCTCGATACTGTGAGCTGAAAACTGCCCTGATAAAGCCAGGAGCAGGATGGCACGCTTCTGTAATCTAGTGCTCCGGGAAGCTGAGGCAAGAGGATCGCCAGTGGCAGCCCAGCTTGGGTCTTAGCGACTCACAGAGACCCTGATAAAAACTGTTTAAAAGGGCTGCATCGCTCAGTGTGGAAGCCTGGCGGCTGAAGGGGCGGGGGTAGGAAGGACGGGAAGAAAGAATAATTAAGTAAATTGAATAAAGGTATCAGCTGAGGGAAAAGTGGCCAACAAAAAACATCACCGTACTCTACATGGTGAAAAACAACTCTCCCTCCTCCTCTACTCTGCCTAAAGGACTGGTCGGGGAAGCGGGAGAGACGCGGACGAGGACCGCGGAGGAGATGGAGCCCCGCCCCGAGCATCACGTGGAGGATCACGTGGAGCAGCACGCGGCCAGGGCGGAGTCAAGAGCAGTAGCACGAGGAGCCCGGCCCCGAAGTCCTAAGGACGAGGGGCTGATCACCCCCGCCCCTCCTCCCACTGCTCGCTCGTCCCTCCCTGTGCGCCGGGGCAGCAGCCTCCCAGCCTGGGCGGTAACAAAGAGGCTGCACGCGCTGCGCCCTGCGCTCTGGAGCCGTCGGAGGCCGGCGGCTGCGCGCGGCCTCGGTGGCTCGGCGTGCGGCCAGAGAAGGGACAGTGCCCGAAGCACGGCTCACAAACCGGCCTCGCTCCCGCGATCACTCCGTCGGGGAAGCAACGGGAAGGCTGGGACCTAACGGTGGGGCGAGAGGGCGTCCCGCACCACACGGGTTACCTTGGAGATGCACCTCAAAGTGACACCCAGGCAGAAGGAAGGGCCCCTCTCTGGGCAACTTGGAGGCACTTTTTAAAATAGCGATTCTCGCAGTGCACTGCGGTCCTGTCTCCCGCGTTTGAAGGTGCTGGTTTGTCTGTGCAGCCGTCCGCGGTCTCTCTCTCTCCACTGCGTTCTCCGGTGCCCGGCGCAGCCGACGCTCGGCCGTCCTCCAGGAGGTCTGCAGGCCGCTGAGGCCGGCGGTGCTGATCTGCCGCCCGGAGGACCTGGGTCTCTCTGTCTCTGTCTGTCTCTCTCACACACACACAAACACACACACATTTACCTGCTTGACAATATTAAATCTTTCAGTAGGCCAAGACTTCTATCTACGCCTATCCAGCAGGCTAACAGCGCATCTCTCCAGGGGAGAGGCACGGCATGGCCACACAGGCAGAAAGCTGGTTTCCCCCTTCCTGACCTCCACTCTCCAATCGCAGTAACCGGAGAGTGCGGTACGTACACCACACACCCACTGAAACTGATGGTGCGGGTCAACGTTTTGCACTGCTGCAGTGTGTGTGTGAATACGGTATGTGTGAATATGGTATGTGTGAATATGGTATGTGTGAATACGGTATGTGTGAATGCGGACACAAACAAGGCACGTTGAAATGTTCCAGAGACGATGAGTTTCGGAGTCAGACTCTGCCGCTCCTGAGTTGCTGTCTGGGCCTCAGTGTCCCTGTCTCTAAGGAATAGGGGGTTTGACATCACCGCTGAGCCCTTGCCCAGCTCTGAGGGATGTTATATTCTCTCTACTGTCTTTCGTTTAGGAAAGTGGGGCGCAGGTCATATGACTTGTACGCGGCCCCACGGGGCCCCCCAGGAATCTGCTCTTGCAAGGAACTTGTGAAATATCTCGAGAACTGAGCGGACTCACCGTGTGCACCCCAGTAAGCCCGGCCGGGTGAGCCCACGTCTGCGTCCTCCTGCTCCCCGGGGCCACCTGCCTACCTCAGGTGCTCCAGGCACGACATCAGCCAAGAGTTAAAAGCTGTGGAAGACACTCTAACAGTTATCACCTGACACTTCGAAATGGGTGGATTCCAGCTCTTTCCAGCAGGCTCTATATAGATGGCTACAAATGCAGTTACTTTAACTTCTCCCCATGAAATAAGTAACAAGCCATCTGACGCTGTTTTTACTCCCTTTGAGCAGTAACTACGAAGAAAAGGCAGATCAGCACTGGGGTCTAAGTGAACAAGAAGCATCAGGAGCCTCGACAGAACGCTCCACTCACCCACTTCGGTGCCCTTTCCCAGGGTGAAGGTGAGCCCGCACCCCCGGAGCCCGTCTTCCGCATCGGTCTCTAGGACAACGTAGGCCGCCGAGTAGTCAGGGTCCGTGTGCTGCAGGACAGAGCCCCGCCCCCAATGCAAACATGAGAGACCCAAAAATGAACGCCAGAAAGAGCGCAAGAATAGAAAATGGAACAAACAAGGGACACGGAGGACACCCACCCAGCTCATGGGACAGCTGAAGGACCCAAGGAAACCTGAGAGCTCTGAAAGGACCAAAGGAAGGTCCTCCTGCAGGATTCCAGTGAGGCCAACAGGTGCAAGGTATTTATTATATACTGTGTGAGTGTGTGTACGCGTGCACAGTGTGTGCGTGCTGGGGATGAACCCAGGACCTCACCCATGCTAAGTGCACGCTCTGCCACTGAGCTCCAGGCCCTGCCCCAGATACTTTTATTTTATTATTTTTTATTTTTTGGTGTTTTTTTGAGACAGGCTATTGTTACATAGCTCAGGCTGGTGCTGAACTCAAAGGAGATCCTCCTGCCTCAGCCTTCTGAGTGCTGAGATGATAGGCATGTGCCACCCTGCTTGGCAATACAGACATTTTTAATGCTAGTGCATAACCGGTGTTCAGCTCAATGTAAAGCCAGGAGTTCTCAACCACAGCTCTCTGAACAGAGTCACATTCACAAGCAGCTTCAAACTGAACAAGCCAAGGCTTCAAAAAGCTCTTCAGGAAAACTGGACTGAGTTTCACTGCAGCAGTTTACAACAGGGCTCACAAGACAACAACGCAAGCTCAGGGACCACAAGAGAAAAGATGGAAAGCCTTACGTCAACCTTTTTTCTCTAGGTTATTTTAGCCTTATACTATCAAACAGCATTTTTTTTTGAGCTACTAGGGATTGAACTTAGGGCTTCACGCATGCAGGTCAAGTACTCTACCACTGAGCTATACCCGTAGCCTTTTTTAAATTTAGAGACAGGGTCTTGCTAAGTTGTCCAGGCTGACTTGGCTTCAAACTTTTGATCCTCCTGCTTCAGCCTCCTGAGCTGGGGTTTCAGGTTCTGCACTACCAGGCCTGGCTTCGAGCAGTACTCTGGTAAGTATTCATTGTTTGACTGTTAGGAAACTCAGGAAGGCCTGACGACATGGGGAAATTTTTCGTAGAGTGGAAAGAAAAGGTTGAAACTCAAAGCCAGGTGAGAACAAACTAAGCACAAGGTTCTGCAGGGAAGCGTGGTCAGTGAGACACACAGCAGCTTAAGGGAGAGAGAGCAAAGGGGCAGTGGAGCCCGAGGGAGCTGTCTTTGGTCTCGCGGGGCAAAGGGCATTCGGATGGGCAGTGGGGCCGGAGAGAACTCTCAGCAAGAGGGCAATCAACTCAGACCCTGTGGGACAGCAGCCAGGCCCAAGGGGGCGCAGGGTGGGAAGTAGAGGAAACAAGGACAACGGCGGGGTGAGGGCAGAGAACAGATGCCCAGCCAGCCAGGCAGGATGGAGTCAGCAACTATTAAAGTTTCGCATAAGCGTATGAGAATTTATTATTGTCATTGTTATTAGTGAGATAGATAGATATAGATATAATTTTTTTTGGTGATACTAAGGATTGAACCCAGGACCTTTGCTCTGAACTATATCTTCAGCCCTGTTTTATTTTGTTTTGTTTTGTTTTGAGACCAGGTCTTGCCTTGCTAAGTCACTAAACTGCCCATGTTAGGCTCCAAAATATGATCTTCTAGGCAGGCATTTGTGCCACTGAGCTATATCCCCGGCCCCTAAAACATGATCTTCCTACCTCAACAAGTTATATGATATTTTATAGGTCTGGGCACGTTAATCAAAGAGTTTCACGTTATGCCAGGAGTGGTGGCACGCACCCGTAATCCCAGCACTCAGGAGGCTGAGGCAGGATTTCTGTGAGTTTAAGGCCAGCCTGAGCTCATAGGTAGTTCAGTGCCAGCCTGAATTACACAGAGACCCTATCTCAAAAAAACAAACAAACAAAACAAGGAAACAAAAAAGCCAAACAAACCCCAAAGAGAATTTCACATTATTTCATTTAACCTCCCCGACATTATAAAGTAGTACTACTTTAAGATAGTCCCTATCTTAGAGATGAGGAAAGTGAGTTGTAGAGAGGTTTAGTAACTTGCCCAAGGTCCTAGCATGAGAAAGTAATGGAGGCTGGGGGCTGGGGATTTAGCTCAGTGGCACAGCGCCTGCCTGGCAAGCGCAAGGTCATGGGTTCGATTCCTGGTACCAGAAGAAAAACAAAAACAAAAACAAACAAAAGAAAGTAATTAATGGAGGCAGAATGTCGGTCCCTGTGTTGGCGAGGGTGGGGGTGGGGCAGGGGAGAAGGTGTAATGACAGAGGGGAGCCCGAGTTTGGAGCCAGCGCCCAGCGGAGCGAGTGTGGGGTGCTGTGCTGTTGAGCTGCACACAGAGACTGTGCGTGAGGCCAAGGGGGACACAGCTGCGTCTGCTCTGAGGAAGTCGCACTTGAGAAGACACGGTTACCGGCACTCTTCCTGGGGCCAGGTAGAACGTAAGTCCCCTGGGGGACGGAAACAAGAAGGACAGGTGGCGGGCACCGTGCTCTGACTGCACTCGAAGCTGGGGCAGGCTTGGTGATGAGATGAAACCCACGGGGAGCTCTGCACAGGGCGGAAGGGACAGGAAGCACCTGGGAGGGAAGACTCTCAGGCCAGGGACCTGCTATGGCTGGGTCTCCATCAAAACTCACCTTGAGGCCTGAGACGCTTTCGGATTCGTGAGAGGTAATCAGGGTGCCTGGGCCCCATCCTCCTGAGGGGACTAGGACAGTTCTCCTGAGACTAGATGAGTCCTTGTGAGAATGTGCTGCCAGCCAGTTGGCCAGGCGCGCCCCCAGGTCTCTCCCACAGGTCCTCCCTGCATGTGGGTTCCACCTCCCCCATGCTTCGCTGCCATCACATGATGCAGCACCAAGCCCTCACCAGAGGCTGAGCACCGGCCAGGGCCACGCTCCACAACTGTGAGCTACATAAACCTCTTTTCTCTATAAATTACCCAGCCTTGGGTATTTTCTAACAGCAACACAAGTCCGACTAAGGCAGGGATAGTGGCAGAGGAGGCAGTGAAGGGGACGGCTAAAGAAAAGGCCGGTATGTGTCAAGGCCTGGTGCCCACCCGTTTGGCAGAGTCACTGCTCCTGGAGTAGAATTGAGAGACGAAGCCACACAGAGACTCCACGAATTAAAGACCACTGGCAGTTTCTGGGTTAGAAGGAGAGGAAGCAATGGAAAGATGAAACCTTCCACTGAGGTGTCAGGAGAGGACCAAAAGCACAAGAGGAGCTGAAGGTGATTGAAGCTTCTGAGCCCTGACGACTGGCAGAGAGATCCCAGCAGTTAAGATGAAAGCTCCGAGTTTTGTGTTTAGCATGAAGGTGAAAAAAGCACATGAGGAAATGCCCGTCTGTAAGTGGGATCTGGGAGACTTCGGCATAGTGACAGGTCCGAGAGGGACAGCACGGGAGTGTGCGTGTGATGTGAACGCCGGTGAGGGGGAAGCAGCAACCCGAAATGCAGGAAGGAGCCGGCAGGAAGGTAGAGCCCGGCAGGGACGCAAACGGGGAAGGAGGGCAGCCAACAGCGTGCAATCCCGCAGAGGACCAAGGAGGATGGAAGCTGAGGTAATGAAGCAATTGCAAGAAAGCAGGGAAGAGTAGCCGATTTCAGACCAAGGCTCATACAGATTAAGGAACGGCTCCAGGCAAGCGGCAGGCATTTGGAGCCCTGTGAGGAGGGGCAGAACCCGAAGGCATGTATTAGGGTCAGGCACCGGCTCCTGCAAAGTGGGAAGCCCGGCCCACGCGGATCCAGAAACAGTCGTAAAAGGGAGCCTAAAGATGGAGGTGCTGGAGGACGAGGGGTCAGCATGGCAGCCTCGGGACTGAAGCAGGGGGCCGGCGGACGCAGGATATGGACACGGTAAAGAGCAGAGGCTGGTTTGGAGAGCACGTGCAGAGAAGGGGCCGAGGGTGACACAATGGGCGGTGACTCCTGACTGCTGGGGACACAGAACTGGGGCCCCAGGAGAGAGAACCAGTCCCGGACCATGAGCAAAGAGAACAGGGAGGTGGCTGGAGCCCGCTGGGGCGCTCTCCGGGGAGCAAGTGCTGCAGCTGCTTTCTTGTCACTGAGACACAACCCCTGACACAACGGTAAGGGGGACAGGTCTACTCGGCTCACAGTTTGCAGGGGGCCCACAGTCAGCCGGCTCCCAGGCAGAGCGGTATCACAGAGGGGCCTGGCGGAGAAGAGCTGCTCAGGGCTTGGTGGACCGGAAGCAGAGAGAGGAAGGGAGGGAGGGAGGGAGCTAGGCCCTTCCAGCTCAGCCCCCATGGACCGCCTCCCCAACCAGACTTCCCCTCCCAGCCTCACATTTATGTGATAGCATTTTTTTTTTTTTTTTTTTTTTGGTACTGGGAATCGAACTCAGGACCTTATGCTTGCCAGGCAGGCGCTGTGCCACTGAGCTATATCCCCAGCGCCCAGCATCCCATTCAGCTATGAACTCATCAGTAGACAAAACCTCCCCACGATCCATCTGGTCACCCCCAAAAGCCTCACCTGAGTGCATGAGGCCCGGGAGGACATCTAGATAGAAACCAAAACAGGAAGCAACGAGCAAGTATGTGCAGGCTGTGTGTTCCTGACAAGGCGGCTAAGCCATCGCAATAGGAACCCTGGCTTGAATGGACTGGAGGACAATTCCAGGGCCCCTCTCGGAGAAAAGAAACAAGTGCAAATCCTACTTCTCATCAGGAAGGCTCACTCTGCTGCCTTGGGCTGAAGGCGGCGAAGCGCCGACTTCAGCACGTCCTGAGGGCGAGGGAAGCCAAGCCCACAGAAACTGCAAAGCAGTACATTCTCCGGAGGAGGCCCTGGAGAATCAGCACCCCAGCCTCCGCTCACCCCAGACACAAGTTGTGTTTCTTAAACGCTCTTGCCATAAACCAGGTTATCTTACCACCTCATGAATTCAGTTGTGTCTGGGCCCGAGTCCCCTCTGCTCACTTCCTTAGTGTAAACGGTAATACAGCGAACTCTTACAGGGGTTTCTCGGCCTTAGGCATCTCCCGCACACCTACGAAGTGGACAGCACTGTTCCTGAAAGATCAGCTGCCCTACCCGTTTTACATCCGAGAAAGCCCAGGCTTGGAGAGAACTGTGCTTCACCCACAGCAGCTAAGTCTCAGAGGCCAGGGGCAGTTGCACTCGACCAGGTGTTTGGCTTTTACAAACGCTGGTTGGGGCTGCAGAGCAGGACCCTGTCTCAAAACCAAACCAAACCCATGTATTTGTGAGTTAGGATAAAAAGGAGACAAAGAAAGCATAACCAAAAATTGTAAGACTGCAACTTTTGGGCCTCAGGTGCAGGTACCTAGGGTAATCTAGATCAGCAGACCTTAATTAAATTTAGGCTTCTTTCCTTCCAGATCTTAACATCACACTCAAACTTCTTTAGGTCTTTTTTTTCCTTTCCATTTTTGAGGCAGGGTCTCACTGTGTAGCCCAGGCTGGCCTTGAATTTATGGTGTTTCTCCTGCCTCAGCCTCCCAAGTGCTGGGATTATAGTTATGTGCCACCCATCTGGCTCCTAAAATTCCTTGGCCCTGAAGGCCCATAAATTGGCTTGACTGAAAACAAAAGAAGCCCTGGGGCCACACCTGGAGAATGGTTCCTGCCCTTCTGGGGCCTGGGCTACCCTTTTGCAGGGTTTCCACTCCCTCAAGAGAAGCATAAATGTTCCCCGTTCCTGGAAATCAGTGCCCTTCTGAGGCCCCGCACTCGATTTCTTTGCACGTGTACCTTTAATTCCTGCCTAGTAAAACCCTTCCCGTGCCTCTTCCTGACTAGTCCTGCAAGTCCTTCTCCGTGAGGGGGTGTAAAAGCCTGCAAACTTATTCTACAAGAAGGGTGGGTTAGGTTCCTTATTTCGGCTTCAGGGACCTCCTCGGATCTGGTCTGGTGATATTCACAGGTCTACAAAGGACTATAAACTGATTTTTTTCTTTGCACTGATTTTTTTTCTTTGTACTGGGGATGGAACCCAGGGCCTCCCTGGACTGAGCTACATCCCAGCCCTTTTTATTTTTTATTTCATGACAGAGTCTCGATCACTAAATTGCCCAGGCTGGGCTTGAACTTGCGATTCTCCTGTCTCTGCCTCCCAGGGTACTGAGATGACATGTGCCACCGTGCCCGCATTTACTGGGTTTTTAAAAGGCATTTACCATAGTAACATAAGAAAGGACTCACAGGGATTTAAAAAGTAAGAAGTTCATCTCAGAATAAAGGGCATTCGTTTGAGATGCTTGTTTTTATAAATCAGTCCAGGCTGACAGAGTAAAGAAACGTAATGAGCACGTTTGCCTTCTACCCAGCTCAGTAAGTAAAGACATCCCAGTGACGTGGAATTAGCGTCCCTGACCGCAGTCTCCTTCCTCTCTGCAGGTCCGACGGCCTCCCTCCAGGGACATCGCCACACGGCGGAGCTGTGTCTCGTGTGGACGGGGGCGCAGTGAGGGCCGCGCTCGGGCGTTGGGCAGCCCTGCACAAGACTGCTGTGTCTCAGAACCAGCTAAACGATAGTCAGTTCGCCAGGGGTCAGGAAGAAGTCCCTCTGATATTCTCAACAAGCAAAAAAGGCCTCGGCATCTAGGTACGGGTCAAAATCCGAGCCGTCCCTTACCGCAGCTTAAGGCTGACCTTCGCACCCTGCTCGGCCTGGCAAACGCTTTCTAGGCGTGTTCGCGGGTACCGGGCTCTCCCCTGAGCGGTCTCGCGGCGCTTCGTTTCTCAGCTCGGCTGTCACTTTCATTCTCAGATGCGCCCAGGAGGCGCCGACTTGGGTCTCCTCAAGTCACACCGCAGACGGCCGCAGAGGCCGGACGCGCCCCCCGCCCCGCCCCAACGCTCCAGCGCCGCCCGCTCCGCGCTCTCGGAAGAGGCGGCCGGCGCTGTGCTCCGGGCTCTTTTGGGGCGCCCAGAAGAACCTCTGCTGGTGTTCCATTTTATGGTGCGTTTTGACGTTTTCCCAGGAAAACGCGCATTGTAAAAGCAAAGCCAAGACGTTCTCAGTGACAGCAGGAGAAAAAAGCCATCCCGGAGCCGGGGATTCTAGCTGCTTACAGCGGCGGAGACAGGAAGCTTGCCTCGTCCCGTGCGGCTGCCGCTGGACGCGGGCAGCAGGGGTTGCACAGCCGTCCGCTTCCGCGCGGGCCGGCCGTCCGTGGCACTTACCATGGCGTCCGAGCCGTGGCCCTCAAGCGATGTGGGGAAGCGCACGTCGCGCACCAAGAGCCGGGAGATCCTGCCGCGCACCATGTCGCCAGCGCTCCACGGCCCCTGCCCTCCAGCAGCCCGGACCCTGGGAACGCTACGGGGCGGGGCATCGTCAAGGCACTGGACGCGGATTGGCCGTGCCCTTGGGAGGGGTTGCCTGAGGGGCGGGGCATCATCGCGTCGACAGGCGCTGATTGGCTACCCCATAGGGGTGGGGCGCCGCGTCCCTGGACTTGGCCCCAGGGTACTCAAGGCCCGGGTTGTGGCTCCCTGGAAGCGCCCGGCCTTCTCCGTCGCTGGCCCGCAGAGGTTTGCATGGAGGGTTTACTCGGGGTCGCATCGGCCTTGAGCTCAGCCTTGCTCCGCCTGGGCTGGCAACGCGAGGTGACAAGCACGCGGCCGCGCCTTAAAGGCAGGAGTCAGGACAGATCCGGGCCAGTGGCTTCCGCCCACTGCGAGCCTGCCGCTGGTCACCGGCGCCCCCGCAACAGTGGGCTAAAAAGTCCACTTAGGGCTTGGTCGAGGGCGGTGGCCAAGCACTCTGGGAGGCAGAGATAAGAGGATCTGGAGTTCCAGCACCGCCTGGGAACCTTAGCTGCCCAGACCCTCTCTCAAAGTAAAAAAATATAAAAGCGCTGAGGCTACAGCTCTCTGGGAAGGCCCTGAGCTGATCACCAGTGCTAAGGAAAACAACCTACTCAACCCACAGCGGCAGGTCACCACTGATTACACCCACACAGCTGCGGCGTGCTTGAATCCACTTCCTTATCTGCCCAGCTCTGAAGGCATGCAGGTCATCTGACGTTCACTGATCAAAAAATGGGGATTCAGAGACGAAGTGACTTGCCTAAGCCATACAACCAGCTGTGGCACTGTCTTGGCTGCAAACCAAGCTTTCTCTGTAAAGAGTCGTCTTATTTTTGGAATTACAGGCTCCCCCTGAAAACACGGTGGTGAGAACATGTGCAACCATCACCTTCTCTTCCTCCACACCCAGGCCAAAATAATGTTTTTCTTTTCGCATACATGTGTTTTCACACCATTTTTGGGGCTCACTGAAAGGCAGTGTGCTATACAGTTTGTACCTCATTTACGTGAGACAGAACCCAGGGCTTTTGCATTGAACTACATCCTAGGTCTTTTTGTGACAGGATCTAAGACTCCAAATTGGGCTTGAACTTACAGTCCTCCTGCCTCAGCCTCCCAGAGTGCTGGGATCACAGGTGTGCACCATGACCAGTGCGGATGTTTTCAGGGACACTCAGGGCACACCTCTGCTGCCTGAGTACGGCCCTCGGTTAGACGTCCCTTGGCTGAAGGCGGAGCAGAGGGAGAGCAGTGAGCGCCACCAAGGGCACTTGCCCTGACTCAAGCCACCTGTGGTAACGACCCTCTTGGAAAAAAATTTGAGGAGCACAAGGTAGAGAACAAAGCTCCTAACAACCCTCTGAGTGAAGCGGGGACTGCCTGTTTTACAGCCAAAGAAAGATCCAGTGGGTAAAGTGTATTAGTTGTAAATGTACACAGCAAACTCCAGGGCAACCACTTAAAAAAAAGTGGGAAAAGTGGGAAAAGTACGCTAAGAAAGGAGAGAAAATACAGTCATAAATCCTCCATTAAAATCATAAAGGGCAGAAAACTGAAAACAAAATAAGTAACAAAGAACAAGAAGTAGAAAACAGTACCCAATGTGGTAGATACTATTCTTATCAATAATCTCTCTGAACGTCAGTGGTCTAAATGCACCAATCCAAAGAATGTCTGAGTTGATCATAAAAGACCCAGCACTATGTTGTCTGTACGATTATAAGTATCCGGACCACCTGATGGGACTAGGCAGTGATGACACCCTCATGGTTTTGCCCTCTGGAATATGCTACTGTAGCGCTGCACTCATCAGTAGCCTTACAAAGGCCCGGAAGCAACAGCATTGATCCAGCCCTCCACAGAGGCACAGGGTTTAAGGAGCAATCCCGGAAAGAGACCAGGGCCCTCTCCGGATACTGATGGGACTAGCGCTTGATCTTGAACTTCCTGTCTTCCGAAACTGAGGAAATAAATTCGTTCTTTATAAATTATTAGTAAAAAAAATTATTGCAGTTCACAAATGTGGCACAGTGCAAGGGATGAGAGACTACCTGGAGTCAACGTCCAATTCAAACTCCAAGAAGGCCTAGAGGGGCTGCCTTACCCAAGACTCCTCAGTGTGAAAGTCTCGGGAAAAAACAGCCCCAAACAGGAAGCTTCTGTGGCTTTTCATGGCTAGAACGAGGAAGCAAGGCTAAGAGACAAAAGGAGGTCTGTGCAGGAGTTCATGTACGGGACAGGGGACGCACAGGGAAGGTCAGGATGGTCTGTTACACGGCCGAGCTTAGGGCCAGTCTAAGTGGTAAGTCAGAGTATGGGGAGGAGAGGGGGCGCATTCACTCCTTAGGGCAATGTGTTTTGATCCTACTGGGACTCGAGGCCCTGCAAGCTGTCTTTTGATCTCTAGCCATGCATTCTGGGAGGTTTTGGGTATGTGGCTCCAGAAGTCCCTTAGCCCTGCATATCCATTTCACACATACCTCTGGCCACCCCCCCACCACCTCCACAATAAATTACCCAGTCTATGATGTTAAGCAGCACAAACTGATTGTGACAGATAGACAAAGGCTATTAACACTAATCAAAAGAAAGCAGGAATAGCTGTATTAATTTCAGATAGAGCAGACTTCAAAGCAAATAGCGGGAATAAAGGGTATCACATGATAAAGGGGTGAATTCTCCAAGAAACAGATCAGTCTATGTGTATGTGCCTAACAGTATAGAAAGCCCTTCCCAGTCCTTGCTGAGGCCCAGGAAGTTTGTATTTGTAATCCCATGGAAAGTTACTGGAATTTTAGAGTCAGTTCCAATCTATTACATCCAGTGCAACCCATGGCGAGAACAGAAACACTAAGGCGTATTTGCAGTTATGGGGAGCCAAGGGGTCCTAAATCCAGCCATAATGATTGCCATCCAGAACAAAGGCGTCCACCCAAGGCTGAACCCAGTTTTTATTCATTCATGAAGAAAGGAGTGGCTTTGAGGATGAGTGGCTGTTGAGAGTGGTAGGAAATATGTGAGCACCATGAGCTGGGTTAGGTAGCAGGCCTGAAATCACCCCTGCCATATGCAGAGAGAAGGATATACAGAAACACAGTTGAGACAGTATCTAACGTTTTGGGGTCGGTGCTTCAGCTCCGATGTGTAATCTTTGAAGCCGCAGGAAGTCATAGCCTCTACCCCAAGGCTCAATCCCAGCTGACAGCCTGGAGCATCGGCTCACACATTCCACCTCATCCTGGCTCACTGGAGGGAGCAGTGGAGGTCAGAGGAAACACGCCTGCCATCTCCAATTACTGTCAGCACCTTGGCTAGACGGATATGCATTGCTTAAAGCCAACTGAAGGAAAGGTCCCAGCCAGCTCTGTACCTATCAATACATGGAAATAGGGTCAGGCTCAGCCAAAATGGAGGCAATTGCTCCTCTTTCAAGGAGAGCTGCCTAGGTGGTCCTCCACAAACAGAACATCAAAATAAATGAGGCAAACACAGACAACTACACAGAGAAACAGACGAATTTACTATTAAGGCCAGAGACTTGAACACCCCTCTATGAGAAATGGCCAGATCCCATAGGGAGACAATGAGGAAGGACACACAAAACCCATTATCACAATCAATCAATTGGGTATAGTCAGTATCTGTAGGTTATTTCGTCCAACACTAGCAGAATATCCATTCCTCTGAAGCTCACATGGAATATGCAGCAAAACAGATTACATTCTGGGGCATAAACATACCTTGACAAATTTAAAGGAACAGAAAGCACGGTTTGTCTCCTTTCAGATTACAGTGTAATTAGATGAGCAATCAATAACGTAACAATTAGAACCACTTCCCCACAGAACTTTTTTATTTTTCGTGGTGCTGGTAGAGTCCAGGGCCTTGTGTATGCCAGGGAAATGCTCTGCCACTGAACATATCCTCAGCCCTACACACACTTCAATAATACACAGGTCAAAAAAGAAATCTCAAGAAAACTTCTAAAATATTTTGAACTAAAATAAAATACACCTTATGAAAATCTGTAGGGTACAAAGATCTAATATCAAATATCTAAGCTTCAGGTGTAGGTAACTAGAAAATGAAAGGCAAATTAAATCTAAAGCAAAAGAAAAAAAGACAAAAGAACAAAGAAACCTGAAATTGAAGCCAACACATCAAAAGGGAAAACTGATAAAAACAAAGCTGTTTCTTTGAAAAAAAAAAAAAAAAAAAAAAAAAAAATTCAATGAAGTTGATAATCCTCAGACTGGGGATATAGCTCAGTGGCATAAGCACCTGCCTGGCAAGCACCAAGGTCGTAAGTTCGATCCCTGGTACCAGAAACAAAAAAATAAAAAAAAATAAAAAAAGAAAAAAAAGAAATTGATAATCCTCTAACCAGGCTAAAAAAAGAAATAACACAAATTACTGATATTAGCAGTAAAAACGGGAACATCACTATAGATCTTATGGACATTAACTAAATGGAATGAACAAATTCCTTCAAAGACATAGTCTGCCAAAACTTACACAAGAAGAAACACACAATCTGATCATGTCTGTATCTACTACAGAAACTGAATCAATAGCTAATAACCTCTCACTTCAAAAAGTACAGGCCCAAGGGTTTCACTGGTGAATTCTACCAAATGTTTAAGAAAGAAATGATAGTAATTCTCTACAATTATAAGACAAAGAGCAAATACTTCCTAACCTATTCTATGAGGCCAGTACAGTATTACCCACATACCAAAACCAAAGACATTACAAGGAAACTACAGACTAAAGTCTCTCTTGGGTGCAGATGCAGAAGGTCTCAACAAAATATTAATAAACAGAACCCAACAAAGTGTAAAAATAGTTATACATCCCAACCAAGTGGGCTTTATTTTGGGTATGCAAGGCTGGTTGAACACTGGAAATCAACCAATGTAATCTACCACATCAACAGGCTAAAGAAAAATCATACTATCAATACTTTTGGGGGACAAAATCCAACACGCATTCATGATAAAAACTCAGTAGAGTAGGGAT